TATTTGTCGTTCCCTCCCCTTTCACAGATCTGCCAGTTAAAAGATTGGTGTAAACACCATGTGATCAACTGTGAGAGCTGAAAAGCCCACACACTGCAGATCAGTGGACACACATTGAGGAAATGAGCACAGCTTTTATAAACAGAGAGTGAAACTTACAGACACTCGCTGTCGTCTAGAGAAGAAATGGCACAGCAAGGGATTCGGCTGGATCGAGAAAAACTGAGTTGTTCAATCTGTCTGGATCTCCTAAAGGATCCGGTGACCATCCCCTGTGGGCACAGCTACTGCATGAGCTGTATTAAAGACTGCTGGGATGAGGAGAACGAGAACAAGAACACGCACAGCTGCCCTCAGTGCAGGCAGAGCTTCACATCGAGGCCTGTCCTAATGAAAAATATCGTGTTAGCAGAGTTAGTGGAGGAACTGAAGGAAGAAGGACTTCAAGCTGCTTCATCTGATCGTTCCTATGCGGGACCTGGAGACGTGGCCTGTGATTTCTGCTCTGGGATGAAGCTGAAAGCCTTCAAGTCCTGTCTGGTGTGTATGGCCTCTTACTGTGAGCAACACCTCCAGCCTCACTACGATGTTGCTCCATTAAAGAAACACAAGCTGGTTGAAGCCACTGTAAAGCTCCAGGAGAGCATCTGCTCTCGCCACGACGAGGTGATGAAGATCTTCTGCCACACTGATCAGCAGTGCATCTGCTATCTCTGCACAATGGATGATCATAAAGGCCACGACACAGTCTCCGCTGCAGCAGAGAGGGCTGAGAGGCAGACGGAGCTCGGGGCGAGTCGGCAAAAGATCCAGCAGAGAGTCCAGGACAGAGAGAAAGATGTCAAGGTGCTTCGACAGAAGGTGGGGACTATCAACCTTTCGGCCAATGACGCTGTGAGGGACAGTGAGAAGATCTTCACTGAGTTGAGTCGTCTGATTGAGAAAAGAAGTTCTGAGGTGAAGCAGCAGATCAGATCCCAGCAGAAAACTCAAGTGAGTCAAGCTGAAGTGCTTGAGGTGAAGCTGCAGCAGGAGATCAATGAGCTGCGGAGGAAAGACGCTGAGCTGGAGCTGCTGTCACGTACAGAGGATCACCTCCATTTCCTGAACAACTACCCCTCACTGTCCCGTCTGAGTGAGTCTAAAGACCTACCCAGCGTTGATATCCATCCTCTGTGCTCCTTTAAGGATGTGGCAGCAGCGGTGTCGGAGGCCAGAGATAAACTGCAGGCTGTTCTGAGTGAGGAGTGGGGAAAGATCTCTCTGGCAGTGACTGAAGTAGATGTTTTACTGCCTCAAGCACAGCCCAGAACCAGAGCTGAGTTCATGAAATATTCTAGTCAAATCACACTGGATCCAAACACAGCACATAAATGTTTGTCATTGTGTGACAGGAACAGAAAAGCAACATTAATGGAAGAAGAACAGTTATATTTGAGTCACCCTGACAGATTTGTTGAGTTGTGGCAGGTCCTGAGTAGAGAGGGTCTGACTGGACGCTGCTACTGGGAGGTGGAGTGGAGCAAGAGAGTTATTATTTCAGTTGCATACAAGGATATTAGCAGAACAGGGACCAGGGAGGAATGTGGATTTGGATATAATGACAAATCTTGGTCATTAGAATGTTACAGAGGTCGTTATGTATTCAGACATAACAATACTCTTACTTCAGTCTCAGGCCCTCAGTCCTCCAGAATAGGAGTTTATCTGGATCACAGGGCAGGTACTCTGTCTTACTACAGCGTGTCTAAAACCATGACTCTCCTCCACAGAGTCCAGACCACGTTCACTCAGCCTCTCTATGCTGGATTGTGGCTTTCAGCATCTTCTGGAGGAACTGCTGAGTTGTGTGAGCTCAAGTAGACAAGAGTTTAAAGAATGATTCACCTCTAGACAGTAAATGTAGAAGTGTGTCTGCACTGCAGCAATCAAACATAGTGGGTGGGACTGTGGTGATTTGTTTCATAGGATTTAAGTTGTTTTGTTTTCATCAGAGCAATTTACTGAAATTGTGAAAATGTCTTTTTTATTGCTTCACAGGAATTTAACTATTTGAAATTTGATTCTTATGTTAAATTTACTAAACATTTTCATTATATTCTGTGCATGGAAAATAGTGCATATGCAAACTGTCTGCTGATTATTTTTTGTTCAACTTAAAATTGAATTTGTTTTTCATTTTAATGGTCTTGTATGTAAAATAAATAACAATAATCACGAGTCATGTATGTAAAAATCTAAATTAATTGATTTTAATTTAAATTTTTGAGCATCTGCCAAATTTATGTAATATAAAACATAAAAAATAGTCATTTTAAGTTGTACCATATCTTCCTAAACATGTTGTATAATTTAACGTTGACTTTTTAGTCCTCTACATACTGCTGTCTGTGTGCTGCAACTGTACTGATGTAAAAAATCACATTAATTCTTTAAATGTTTTAAATGTATGCAAAGAAAATTAACAGTAAAATGTTCTGACATAATCTTACATGTAACCCTCAGAAAAACAGTTTGTTAATCATCTTTCTTAGAGTGAAGTCAATTGTTTTTGGAAACATTTATGAAAAGTCAATGTTCAAAATCCTGTAAATAAATAAATTGTGACATGTCAGCATTTTATCAATAAACTACTATTCTTTAAAAAACTGTGTTCTTCCTTTCACTGTCAGAGTGTCACAAACATCTGTCTGTTTCCTACTTAATTTATTTCCATTGAATGTGTTTTTTAAAGATATTTTGTCAAGAGACAAAAACTAAAAGACAATCAAATAAACCCCTCGTGTAAAATTGTGACTCTTTTGCAAACGAAAACATTTCAAGACAACATTTCAGCAGAATGTGTTACTTTCAGATTTATTACACAACTTTTGAACATTCCACAACAAGCATGCAGGAATGAATTGAGAATTATGGAAATCTTTACAGGCTTCACCAATAACACTTTAGGAATAACTTGGCTTCACGTCGTCTCAGAAACACTCAGAATGTGAGGTCATGTTTTTGAAATAATCATCAACAGACCGTGTGTTGATTTAATGCTGATTATGGTGACGGAGGATAATGTTTATCAGTACTCTACATTGTATTAGTGGAAGTAGTAGTAGTAGTAGTATCATGTTCCATTAGGAACACTGGTTCTCAGAGCCTGTATTCTATTATAAAATCTGTATTTATCTAAAAGGAAGAATGTAACTGACTACTAAAGAAACACTGCAACTCTCAAACAGCTCCTCTTCCTGGAATGAAGCACAACTTTATAACCCCCACACCGACTCTATTTCTGCTGTAGGGGAGTTTCCTCCTGCTCAAAGTTTATTTGGAGTCTATTTGTCGTTCCCTCCCCTTTCACAGATCTGCCAGTTAAAAGATTG